ATTGCTATAGTCTCTACGTAAGATCATATTTATCATTGTTATAGTCTCTACCTAAGATTATACTAATCATTGTTGTAGAGTCTTTATGTAAGATCATTTTAATCATTGTTATAGTCTCTACCTAAGATCATTTTAATCATTGTTATAGTCTCTACCTAAGATCATTTCAATCATTGTTATAGTCTCTACCTAAGATTACTTTAATCATTGTTATGGTCTCTACCTAAAATCATTTTCATCATTGCTATAGTCTCTACGTAAGATCATATTTATCATTGCTATAGTCTCTACCTAAGATTATATTAATCATTGTTGTAGAGTCTTTATGTAAGATCATTTTAATCATTGTTATAGTCTCTACCTAAGATCATTTTAATCATTGTTATAGTCTCTACCAAAGATCATTTTAATCATTGTTATGGTCTCTACCTAAGATTACTTTACTCATTGTTATAGTCTCTACCTAAGATCACATTAATCATTGTTGTAGAGTCCTTATGTAAGATCATTTTAATCAATGTTATAGTCTCTACCTAAGATCACTTTAATCATTGTTATAGTCTCTACCTAAAATCATTTCAATTATTGTTATAGTCTCTACCTAAGATCATATTGATCATTGTTATAGTCTCTACCTGAGATCATATTGATCATTGATATAGTCTCTAATTAAGATCATATTAATCATTGGTGTAGAGTCCTTATGTAAGATCATTTTAATCATTGTTATAGTCTCTACCTAAGATCATATTGATCATTGTTATAGTCTCTACCTAAAAACATTTTAATCATTGTTGTGGTCTCTACCTAGGATCATCCTAATCATTGTTATAGTCTCTACCTAAGATCATATTAATCATTGTTGTAGAGTCTTTATGTAAGATCATTTTAATCATTGTTATAGTCTCGGCCTAAGATCATTTGAATTATTGTTATAGTCTCTACCAAAAATCGTTTTAATCATTGTTGTAGAATCTTTACCTCAGATCATTTTTTAAAACATTGCTGTAGTCTTCAACTAAAATCATTTTAAGCAATGTTGTAAAGTCTCTACATAAGATCATTTTAGACATTGTTGTAGAGTCTTTACCTAAGATTATTGTAGTCATTCCATGCCGAAGATATCTTACATTATTGCTGTAGAATATTTTCATAAGATCGCTTCAAATATTGTAGAGTCTCTACCTCGGATTATTTTAATCATTGTAGTAAAGTCTCTACCTAAGATCATTTTAATCATTGTTTTACATTCTTTACCTATGATCATATTTGTTATTGTTGTACAGTCTCTACCTAAGATCATTTTAATAATTATTGTACAGTCTTTACCTATAATCCTAATTGTTATTGTAGTACAGTCTCTACCTATGATCATTTTAGTCATTGTTGTACTGTCTCTACCGAAGATCATTTTGACCATTGTTGTATATTCTACCTAAGATCATATTAATCATTGTCGTACGGTCTCTACCTAAAATCATTTTTATTATTATCATTGTTGTAGAATCTCTCGCTGAGATCTTTTCAATCCTTGTTGTAAAGTCTTTCCCTTAGATCATTTTAAACATTATTATAGTCCATGTCTGAGATCATTTTAATCATTGTTGTACAGTCTCTATCTAAGATTATTTTAATCATTGTTGTACAATTTTACCTATAAATGTCATATTAATCATTGTTGTACAGTCTCTACCTATGAAGTCCATTTTCTTTTTAATCATTGTTGTAGAAGTTCTAGTTGAGATCATTTTAATTCCTGTTGTAGAGTCTTTAATTTAAAGATCATTTTAATCATTGTTATAGCCTTTGCCTAAGATCATTGTAATTATTACTGCACAGTCTTTTCCTAAGAGAGTAATCATTGTTGTACAGTTACTACCTAAGATCCAATCATTGTTGTACACTCTCTACCTAAGATAATTTTTATCATTGTTGTAGAGTCTCTAACTACGATCATTTTATTCATTGTTGTGCAGTCTATACCTAAGATCATTTTGATCATTGTTGTAGTGTAGACAGGCACAATGATTACAGCCACAAGATCGCCTGACACTATACGTTTGTGCGCGTCCTCCCTTGGGAGGCATTCACTTCACTCTGATACGACTGGACGAGCATCGCTTGCACTGAGCATGTCAGTTTGATTTTTTTGTTTAACTCTACGTAGGCAGACAAAAGCGCGCATCTGTGTGAATCCATAGGTCGTGGTAATTGCTCGCAGACCCCGTGACAACCACACAACAAGTGGCTCCTACCTCCAACTGTATCGGCAGCCCCCTGTCCTTGAAGACGTCTCTAAAGTGCTCACTCAAACTGCCAATAGCAGCAATACATCTGATAGCAGGCCACACTCATGCCACGTGCCGTCCAAGCCACACTCATGACGAGGGTATGAGCGGATGCAAATGTCTGCACAAAGCTCCCAGGTACGCGTTCTGGGAGTTGATCTATAAGTAGATAAAAGTATATGACCGCTCCAGGACCCGCCTATCGGTCTTTTCCTAATTCCCCAATCGACCGCTTATATAAATTATATCTAAGCTACACTATCATATCTTAGCTACTTCTTGGTCTGTGTACGCCGCTCGACAGAACTGGCATTGGGAAACATGGAGGTTGGAGAGTGTGTCTGTGTCACGACTGATATATCTTCAACAGGCGTTGCCGGTGGCGTTGTAGATGCAGGCTTGCGTGTACTCGGGTGTGTCTTACCTGCCTGTTTGAGATGGAATTTCGGTTCGGTAGATGCCAGCGCAAAGGACACGGAAGTGGCGGCCAATAGAACAGAGTTACACGCCATAGCCGTGCCTATGTAAATGAAATGACGAGAGAACAAATTTAGTAATCCATAACCCTAACACAGCAAATCATATAGTGATCCGCGACTGATGCTTGTAGTCTCATGAAATATAAGAAAACTCAGTGGGGCGTTTGTCTGTCGAGGTAACGTGATGACATCCGTACGTGGTCGCTGATGGGAGACGTATGTGGTATTAGGGAGCAATGCTCTTTTTAAACTCTAAAATCCCAATACCCTAAAACAATAATGACTCGTACGCGTGATGCAGTTGAGTAAAGACTTACACGACCGATATTAAACTCAGAATGAATTTGAATCAATGAACAACTGCAAAGACATCAGCCCCGACTGCTCCGTCGATACACGCGAATTATTTGCTTACAAATCCCTTTTACGCAAAGAAGCTACTTCGAAATAAAAAATTCGAACGAACAAGTAGCAGCCTCGCCACACAAAAACAGTGGACGCCCTTCACCTTAAGGTCAATTCATCCGCATATTTACTAGCACAAACTATAGATGATAACATTCAATATTCACAAAACGCTGGGCTAAAAGCTGAATGACAGTCATGCGCCACATTATACTTCAAACGGGGCAGTTGCCTGGGTTTGTTTTGGACACTTCAGATAAATGACTGATATGCACTTGTATATGGATTCAACCAAGTTGAACATATGAATTGCCATGAAGATTAGCCTTAGGTCTAATACTTTAGGAGGCGTGGGACCACAATTGTTTCTTGAATACTGGAGTGGATATCAGACCCGAATAAATCCCAATACACAAAAACCCTAAACCCCTAAAAGGTTATGGGCACAGGTCAGCAATATGAATAGTGCCATCGCCAGAGCACCGAATTCGAAACAACGCAGCCGAGAAAACAGGACTATACGTGGCTGTGACAACCACCGCTTAAACGCTCCACACACCTACACCATAACTGTGTGCTATGAGACCGCTTGCAGTGGCGCCCACCAACAGGCCCAAATCACCACCTGACCGCATCAGAGCCAACGCATCGCTTCTGTCTCTGTCCTTTGTGATGTCCACCAGAAACGACGTGGGCGCAGTCCCTACAGAATAGAACGCACACAGTTTACTTCATTTTAACACAGTGAAGAGGTGGGTGATATGTGATACTACACAATCGCTGTTTACGCAACAAACAACGACTATCAATTAAGCTCGGGCGCACTACGACAGTTAACGTCAATGGATCAACAGTACGAAAAGAAGTGTAAAGTCATCAGCAGCTGACCTCTATTCACAACGATGCAACGACCGGACATTACGTTAAAGACCAGATATTACGTTAGTACACCCTGTGTTCGGTAGTGATTAAGAAGCAGCAAAGCTGACAATCGACCCATCCTGTGGACAGAAAAGAAGTCACCAGACTTACGGTCGCAGAAACCCTCTACGAACATGTGTTAGGGTACCTAACACGTACTACGACAACTAACAAGTAATACGATAACTTAAGCAGCCAGGTTGTAGATCCTGAAATGACCACCAAACTCAGAAGGGAATATACGCTGCGAGTGTACAGTGACTCCCACACCTACCCACTATAGGGTTTAAGGTTTAGGGTTATTATCCTTCACATACCTAGTATTGAATTTCCGAAGCCCCACATCACCACCAGGCCCATGAGTTGTTCCCAGCTCTGAGCAAAGGGAGTGAGTCCTATGGCTGCACTGACCAGCATCGTACCAGGTACCATCGATGTCTTGCGCCCAAACGTGTCCGAGAAATACGCACTGGGCTGCGACATAATGACATTGACTATGGCCAACGAAGCGAACAGCTGCCCCAGACTGCCAGGCGTCGCATCAAACTGCACGCGCACAGATCAAAGTCAGTTGAGTGGCTGTGTGAATCCTAAAAAACGGCTGAGTAAACGTCTGTTGACAATTCACAGAAGAAACGCGTCTACGCATGTGTGTGAATGGCTTGTTGGTCAGCGGTAATGTCTGACTTAATTGCGTATCTTCATAGACGGGTAAGCCACTGCTAATATGAGCCATCACGAACTACGCCTTGATGAAGTGGCGAGAGAGTGATCAGTGATGCGCCAGTGAACAAAACAGCGATAGAACAGAAGTGAAGGCACTGAATGTGGATAGCACTTGTTATCCTCAAACGGGTTCGATTGAACGTACAATTCTTTTTTTAATTGGCCCGTCCACGCCAAGACTTTTATCCAATATAAAAAACGATCAGCCTTTCGCCAATCTACTATTAAATACAGCTGAGTATTGAGAACAACTGATTATTAAGAAAAGAAAAACATGCCAACACTTGACAAAAGCAGTAAAGCATCTCACACAGACAAGCGGAAGATCACTAGAGGAGATGCATGCTATGTAGAGCACAGGATCAGATAAACGATGCACTATGGGTCAGCACCAACAGCATATGAAACCCAAAATGCACAAACGATAGGCACCTTAGAACAGACAGGCAAGAGAGTAAATACACAACTGTCTCAGTAAGCGCTGCGTAAAACAGAGAGCAACCGCAACTCAAATGTCCGGCTAGTCATGTATAACGGATAAATGTAGAAAATCAATTTGCGCCTGTAAACCTACAGGATCAACCTGTAGCGAATTCTTACAGCCACCTACACAAACCCTACACTCACGTACACCCACGTACACCCACGTACATCCACGTACACCAACCCCACACTCGCCTACAGCCACGTACATCCACGTACATCCACGTACACCCATGTACACCCACGTACACCAACCCTACACTCATCTACAGCCACCTACATCAACCTAAACCCACCTACACCAACCCTACACCCACCTGAGAGGTGGCCAGTAGTGGCAACAGTGTAAACTGTGCGCCCGACGCCGTGGCCCAGAAAGTGCTGTGCAGCATCAGCACCGCGCGAGTGTTGCGACAGTCGCGCATCAGCACAGTCCACCGCGTAGACGTACGGCGCATGTCAGATCTGCAAGGAACAGAGCACGCGCACATGAGCCAATGGGCCACACTACGCCCACAGCTGAAGTGTACACGCTACAACTCACAGCACGCTCAACGCCACCATGCGATACAGCTCGCAGCATCCGAATGGGCGAGTGACCCACCAGACAGCCAAAGAAGCTGTTAACCAATCCTTGATACGAACGGTAGCCGAGTCCCGATGTAGAAGCGTTGTTAATCTACCACAGCATGGCATCTACTCCATTTGATCAGACGCCTACAAAACATACGCACACACAACAAACGCAACAAGTGCAGGCGCCAGCACCCACTGTTGGAAAGTACACTGCCCAGACAACAGTGGACAGCGCCTTCACACCACCAGTGACTCACCCGATTTGCTTCGCCAGTTCCATCCCAGTTTCTAGGCGCTGGACTGTGCTCGTTTCTGCCAATCAAATAAATCCGAATTGAAGATTATTAAATCCTAAACCCTAAAAATATCGAAATACTTTGGCAAGAAATATATAAGTGACCGAAGGTTTGCTGTTAACAGAAAACATGCATCTCAGGTCTGACTAAAGAAGATACGCGCTAAATATTTTGTTCCTCAATGCAATAAACAAGAGTTATCCTGCGAATGCCAACCCTCTAAAATATGACAATCCTATTCATATTATATCAACCTACGACAACCATCTGTACTATAACCAAACACACCTCTACTGCATGCCAAAACCCCAAACCGTAAAACCCTAAAATCACTATGACCCAAGCGCAATTTGCTTCAGGGCAAAATCAACTCCTCGTCCCACATTCACTGCCGATACCTTTTATCCTCAGCGCATTATTCAGAGCGACGACAGCGATGGCCATCCCCACAAACATGAACGGTGCTTGAAAACCATAACTGTTTAGTGATAAGACAACAAGCAAGCAACCTGAGCGAACAAACATGAACGGTGCTTTCAAATCATAACTGTTAAGTGAAAAGACAACAAGCAAACGACCTGAGCGAACAAACATGAACGGTGCTTTAAAACCATAACTGTTAAGTGATAAGACAACAAGTAAACAACCTGAGTAAACAAACATGAACGGTGCTTTCAAACCATAACTGTTAAGTGAAAAGACAACAAGCAAACGACCTGAGAAAACAAACATGAACGGTGCTTTAAAATCATAACTGTAAGTGTTTAGGACAACAAGCAAGCAAGCAATCTGAGGTAAGGCGACCAACGACATATGTGGTATTAAGTGCATGGGGTGGAACACGTTAAAAATAGCGAGCCACGAAGACACTCATGAATATGAACTATGAGCTCATCTGTTTTAGAAGCAAAGCAGCGCAGAAGGATTGCAACTCACGATGGCATCAAGCAATAGAACCAGCAACGATCGAACACTCGAAATAGATTGAATAAATAAATGGATAAAATAAATCTTATGCGCAATCAATTACGGCATACAGCTGTAACGAATACTAAGAGACTACAACACAGCAACCACAACACAATAAAACATCCACAAACACCAATGTTAAAGAGAATACAACACAGCAACCACTACAAAATATAACATCCACAAACACCAATGTTAAAAAGAATACAACACAACAACCACTACAAAATAAAACATTCACAAACACCAAACTAAGTAGTATTAATACTATCCAGTTACTGATTCGTACTAATACTAATTAGTACTGATACTAATTAATATCATAGCAATTCGTATTAATAGTGATTAGTACTGATAGTAATTAATACTAATAGCTTGGGGTGCCTGGATGTGCGAGTCACCGGGGATGTGCTGCCGTCACGAATGAAATGTCAGTTAGCCCAAACAACCAGTACCAGTACAAAGCAGATGAACAATAGAAGAAGAAACATAACAAAGCCACAACAGGAGAAACAAAACAAAGTCACAACAGAAGAAACATCACAAAGTCACAATAGAAGAAACATAATAAAGTCACAATAGACGGACATAACAAACCCCTTTAAGCTCACAGAACGTACCTGTCCGCCAAATAGCCTCCCAGTGCAGGGCCACAACTCACTCCAGCCGACCACGCAGCCGACATTGGTGCCACTAACCAGATTCAACAAGGAAGGGTTACAAATAAACATTAATTTAGCAGATATACACATATATCAATACTAAATATTAATAAATTAATCCCATATACACATATATCAATATATATATAAAATCATTTAATCATATGTACACACTTACCAATATTCAATGAAAATTAATTAATCCCATATACACATATATCTATGCTAAATAAAAATTGTTCAATCACTAGTACACATTCAAATTTTATATATATCTCCCAAATACACATACATAGATAATAAATACAGATAAATTAATCCCGTATACAAACACATAAGTTAAATACCGATCAACCAATCCCATATACACATATATTTCAATATTAAATAAAGATTGATTAATCAGATATACACATATATCAATATACAAATACCGATCAATATGGTTAATTAATCACCATATACACATATATCAATATTCAATAAAAACTAGTTAATCACAGATACGCGTACATCAATATTTCTTGTGTGAAAGTGCATTTCAAGCTCTATTCAGCGCAGCAGATAAGTCCGCAAGACGAGTTGGACACTGAACGATAGCCCAAGGGTTTTAGGGTTTAAGCTGAAACCCTAGTACTCACTAATCACACTCGAGAACACAGCATAACCTCCAAGCAAACAAATGTGTAAAAAAGAAAACATTGTAAAAGTTCTTCAGAAAGACCAAAAGTCGCATCTACAGCGCAACCATCGCGAAAATAAGTCGGCTTAATCAACTGTACCAACACGTCACTCGCACGGCTTACTCGTTCTGGCTCTGTTTCGATTGGTCGAAATGTCGGCCAAGTGAAGCTGCGCACCCATCATCATCATCGCACTACCAGCACCTGCAAGCGACAACAATAACAAATACATCAGCAAAGGTCTCAAGGAATGCCTATACAGACCCTCGTGAGTGACACAGGCAGTACCACTGGACACACAGCAGAGATGCCACTTGAGTGAGCAGGTATATAGAATGCAGGCCTCATCGCTAGCAGGAAGCGCGCATACATAACAGAGTCACTCAATATCCACTACTGTACAAATACATGCAATCGATTATCCACATCGCCGTAAACTGACATGGCCGCAGCAGAGGGCGCAAATGTTATCTGAGAAGACAGTGTGATCATACACCAAGGAATGGCACACCACACCAACCCCTTAGTCATAAGGTGCACATGAACATACACACATTAAAACATCACTTGAAAGATAAGAGGGAGGCAGTGTTTAAAATCGATGGCATAGGCAGTTTATGGGTATGAGGGTTCACGGTTTAGGTTTTTCACGTGCAAAAATAGTTTGCAGGTTTTTTCTTCTCGTTGAAAATCACAGGATATAAAAACCTAATGATTTGCAAAACCCTGGTCATAGGACATAGCCCATGTCCGCCTGATCAAATCATATCACGAGATTTTGTTGTTTTTGGAACCTCCTTCACAAATCCAGTGACTCAAAACTCTGTACACTTCTCAGCCCATGCAATCGACCATCTTAAGCGTCGCATTCATTAGACATTCAATTTTGAATATTGCGGGTGTCTGGCTACATTTACGAAAATTTACGACACTTACAATGTGCATACATATTCACCACAGCACTTACGCCCTTCGGAAGGAAACCTCGAAAACCCCAGATCCTGAACCCTGAAACCCTGGATCTCTACATGCGTGTCTCACGATTGTACGATGCAGTGCGCTTGTGATTAAGTACATGTGAGACATACCTTGGACAAACCGCCAAAACATCAGCTGTTCAAAGGAATAGGAGTGGCCGTGCATGAACATGGAGATGGAGCATAGCACTGGCCCAGCAACCAGAAGGCTTTTCCGTCCCATGCGATTTCCTAATAAGGTAAATCCAATGAGTGAGATTGACTGTGACTGATTTTGTGCAGAGCTCTGAGATGGAGGATAACCACTCGGCTCGAGCAGATTGCATGTCTAAACTTTTCGTTTTAGGGTTTTGGGGTATATGTTATCTTCATAGTGGCCCACACAGAGCGACGCATACTGGTTGCACTTGAGTCGAGTACATCATCCCAATGACTCATCACACAAACGGCTCATATGCAAGCCACCTCCCACAACAGGTGAACCAGACACACGTCGCAGACAGTGCAAACGGTCATCGGGACAATCGGCTGCAGCAATTGGCATTGTGTGCAGATGCTTCATGGCGATGGTTAGTAATCTCTTGCGACAGTATATGGGGCGACAGCATATGTGAATTATATTTAAGTTGATAAGATGACATTCATTCTGTAATCACTAAACAACAAGTGGAACTGGCAACAAGGTAAATGATCGACTACTACTTTGAAAAGAGATAGATGACCGTTGATATCAACAGTGTATGTCAACGTCACTATAACCGACCGATGACCAAATGAGAAACATGAATACTGGGCAAAAATTTATCCGTTTACGTTTACGCAAAATTGAAGATCATGAGCCCAACATATCAGCAAAAGCTAATTCTACATTTACACATGTGTTGCTAGTATTATTGAACTACAAAACAAAAGACCCGATGAGAATAGAATGAAGTAAACATAATGGATTCTAATTATAATGACCTACCCTTCGATGACCTCGGGACATATAACAAGCTCAATACAAACCACGACAACACGACAGAAGCGTCTACTGCGTAATTTTCTCACGCAGCTGTTTTGTACTTGGAGCACATGTTACACATGGTCGTGGAATTGCTATATTTGGTTCTCACAGGGCAATTTAAGACCTCACGCAACACACCACCGGTAGGAATAAACTCTCATATCCGCCTGTCGCAACACTGTTGTTATTCTCTAGAAAGACATAATCAACAATCTAAGAAGAAATCCTCAACCGAATTTCGTCACAGCGTGATGACTCAAAAGACAGCTTTCCTATTCATGCCATTCTTGTGTTCACATACGAAAAATTGGCAAAAGCACACCAAATGAGTTCGACATACCTATGGAAGCCAAAGGAATATTGCAGAACAATCGCGTTAATCCCAGTATACTGATGACCATGCCGAATTGGGTGGAGTTGAGTCCCAATTCCCGAGTCAGCCCGGGAAGTACAGGTAGCACCACTCCTATCGCAATGCCCATCAGCGCAGTACCTGTTGCAATAGGCCATACTCGGCTGTCTACTCTGTCACTGGCTGCTTCGGCTCTTGCTATAATTATGCAGTGGGACGGTTGGAAGCAACGCCTCAGACTTTGTGCTTCTCACAGTAACAGAAATTGGAATATACATGTACTGCGGCGAGCATAGTTTTATGAGGATGTATGTGGCTGCATGTTTGAATACTGGCACAGGTGTGAGATTACCACCAATGAACTGTGAGGGTAAAATTTACAAGAGAATTTGAATCTCAATTGGTTCTATGTAGCTCATGTCACCCATATCTTGTAAGGCGTCAAATGATAGCCATTTTGGTATTTAAACTTCAAACCCCGAATAACAAAGTCGAGAAGATCCGAAACGAACCCCAGGAGGAACAGAGGTGTAATTGGAACTAATGGCTCAGACAAGAAATATATGCATAGCGCGAAGTCTACATCACTTCATCCCAGTCCTATCCTGTGGTATTACTTCCTCATCAAACATGCGTATGTCTATAGCATACTGAAACCCTAAAAACCCTACACCCCAAACTCTAAAAATCTTGCTAAAATGCGATGGAAACTAAAGCCAGAGCAATGCCTGCCAACGTCTACAGCGGTTACAAGCGGCCATATAACATCTGGCTATTACGCAATTTGACGTCCTGGAAACCCAAATGAAAGACAAACCTTTTAAGACGCCCTCTGCGGTCGGCGGCTTCTCACCTTGCAATCCCTTGCTAGGCTCTTCTACAGGTGCAGGATACGAGAATACATCGATATGAACAGCTCAATAAAAGAGATTTAAGACACTGAGCCTCCCAAAAAATAACAGCTCTGAGTAATGCATGAGATTTCTGCTCGAAGAGATGTCTTATGTCTCTAAAACCAAGGTGAACCTACACTAATATACTTAGATGTCTTGTTGAAGCTGAAACTCGTACAGGCTCATAAAATATATTCCTGAATTAGAGTGAACTCCCACTAACCGATTGAAACTAAGCACCAGTTTATATCGCTATGACAGTTATCCGAGTTCCCAAACTTGGCGATCTGTGTGACTGGAGTTGCCGCATTGAACACATAAGACAATCAACCAGAATCCAGCTCAACAAGCTTAGAATGCACACACGGCTATCCTATACTATACACTACGCCCGGGTGACACAGCTACCCCATACTATACACTACGCCCGGGTGACACAGCTATCCTATACTATACACTACGCCCGGGTGACACAGCTATCCTATACTATACACTACGCCCGGGTGACCCAGCTATCCTATACTATAGACTACGCCCGGGTGACCCAGCTATCCTATACTATACACTACGCCCGGGTGACAAAGCTATCCTATACTATACACTACGCCCGGGTAAATACACTGTTTGATTTGTCAACATTTCCCGTACAATTGTTACTCCAGCGTAAAAACTCAATTCAGATAATGATTATAGTGAAAAGCGGAAAATGTTGGACGTCTACCGAAGCACAGTACGCTGTACGGATGACAATCATCCCAATACGGAACGAAGAGGCTTCTGAGCAGACGCAACAGCTAACGCATCATTGCATACGACTAGTACTCATAGTATCAGCTTACTACCAACTAAAGACCGAGAATCGGAAAAATCAGCTCGTGAAGATCAGCTTTGACCACTCTGCTATACAAGTGGGGGGTATTCCTATCATTTACTAGAAGGTATTTTGAAACACATACTAGACATTAAAACCACACTAGTCATACGACAATATAATCAAACAAAGTCATTGGACTTAGTCGACAACAATTCCAAAAGTATACATATACATATACATATACATATACATATACATACATATATATATATATATATATATATATATATATATATATATATATATATATA